ACCAGAGGTTTCACCGACCAGTCTTTGGACAGGGTCCCCTGGTGTTGCGTCGCGGTTTCGTGTCTGGGGGTGCTTGGCTCTTGTCCGCGACACCTCCGCGGACAAGCTCTCGCCTCGTGCCGTCCCCTGTGTCTTCCTTGGTTTCCCTGAGGACTCCTCTGACTTCACCTTTTACCACCCTCCCTCTCACCGGTTCTTTGACTCCTGTGACGTCCGTTTCGAGGAGTCCGCTCCGTACTACGTCAGGTACCCCAGTCGAGGTCTCCCGGTTCCTCCTCCCCCCCTCTTCCTGACTGCCGTTCCCCCTCCTGCTCCCCCGGTACAGCCTCCCCCCCCTGGTCCAGCCCCGTCAGGTGTGTCCCAGGCTACCCCTCCTCCTTCGGTAGCCCCTCCGGTACAGCCTCCCTCCCCACAGTCCTCCTCGCAGCGTGCCGCTGGTGCTAGCTCTCGAGAGGTTGGTGCGGCGCCTGTTCCTGTACCGGTTTCTGGTTCTGGGGGTGCTGGAGTTGGAGCTGGAGTTGGAGCTGGAGTTGGCACTGGAGTTTCTGGTTCTGGGGGTGCTGGAGTTGGAGCTGGGGTTGGAGCTGGAGTTTCTGGTTCTGGAGTTGGAGCTGACCCGGTGGGTGCAGAGGACTCTTGTCGTCCGGGAGCTGGTGCTGGCCGCGCGGACACTGGGGGTGCTGCGTCTGGGGGTGAGGGTGCGCCTCCTTCGGGTTCAGGTGAGCCGGGTTCTGGAGCTGGTGTTAGTGCTGCCTCTGGGGGTGGTGCGCCTAGTTCTTCTGAGGTGGACTCTGGAGCTGCCGCTGCTTCGGACACTACTCCACCCCCCCACCCCTACCCGACTAGGCACCAGGCTCGTGTTCGCCGTGCCCGTGACGAGCAGCTGGCGTTGGAGAGAGAGGAGAGGGAGTTACAGCGGCTGGAGGAGCAGCAGCAGCAGCTGGAGCCGCAGGAGCAGCAGCAGCAGCAGCAGCAGCTGGACCCGCAGGAGCAGCAGTCCCAGCAGCAGCCGCGTCCGCAGCAGCAGCAGTCGCAGCCGCAGCAGCAGCAGCCACTTCCTCCTCCTGTCTCGGGTCTTCGGATCCTTGGTCTCCCCTCCCCTTCTCCTCCCTCCTCCGCCTCTCCTCCTGTCTACGGTCCCACGTTTCCTCCTCCTGACTCCTCCCCCGCTGTTTTCCCCAGTTCTCCGCCTTTGTCCTCTCCTCCTCCGTCTCGTTCTTGGGCTACTCGTCGCTCCCCTCGTGCTCGTCCCTCGTCTCCTGTTCCCTTCACTGACCTTCGTACTGCCTTCCTTCTTTCTAGTCCACCTCGTCTGTCTCAGTCTGTGCTTCCGTCTCCTCCTGAGTCGGCCCTCACTGTGTCGCTCCCTACTCCTGTCACTGACTACTACCGCACGTACCGTCCTGTTCTCTCTCGTGTTCTCGCCTCTCTTGTTACTCACCCTCGTGCCTCTGTGTCCTCTGTGTCCGCTCTTACTGCCGCAGTTACTGACTTTGCCTCTACCCGCCGCCTTGACTACGCCACCACGCTTGTGGCTGCTCCTCCTACCAGTCCTCTGGCCGTCGGGGGTGTGTCTGCCCTTGGCTGTGACGCCCTAGAGGACAGGCAGTTTGAGCTAGAGTTCCTGGCGGCCGCTTCCCCTCATCTCTGTGCCATGCTCCTCGCCCCTGAGGGTGACCCCGACGCCCTTGACATTCCGACTCCTCGCACTTACGCTGAGGCAGTGTCAGGGCCTTGGGCCTCTCAGTGGAGAGCTGCCATGGACGCAGAGATGGCCTCCTACAGATCCACAGACACCTACGTCGATGAGGTTCCCCCCCCTGGGGCGAACGTAGTCGACGGCATGTGGATCTACAGGGTGAAGCGGCCACCGGGATCTCCCCCGGTCTTCAAGGCGCGCTACGTGGCTAGAGGTTTCAGTCAGCGCGAGGGAGTTGACTTCTTTCAGACCTTCGCACCTACCCCGAAGATGACCACTCTTCGGGTGTTACTACACGTAGCAGCACAGAGAGACTACGAGTTACACTCTCTTGACTTCTCCACTGCTTTCCTTCAGGGCAGTCTACACGAGGAGGTCTGGTTGCGTCGTCCCTCGGCCTTCACTGGCACTTTCCCTCCTGGGACCCAGTGGAGGCTGAGGCGACCTGTTTACGGTCTTCGCCAGGCCCCTCGTGAGTGGCACGACACTCTGCGTTCTACCCTCTCTGACCTTGGGTTCCAGCCGTCTTCTGCCGACCCGTCGCTGTTCGTTCGTCGTGGCTCCACACCGTTCTTTGTTCTGGTCTACGTCGACGACCTCGTTTTCGCCACTTCGGACAGGGTTGCTTTGGCAGACGTGAAGTCCGAACTGCAGAAGAGACACACGTGCACTGATCTTGGTGAGCTGCGCCACTACCTTGGCCTGCAGATCACCAGGGACAGAGCCGCTCGCACCATTACACTCTCACAGTCACACATGGTGCAGCAGGTCCTTCAGCGGTTCGGGCTTCAGCACTCCACCGTACAGCGCACACCTCTAGCTGTTGACCACAGACTCACTGGTCCCTTTCCTGACGAGCCGTTTGAGCCTAGTGGTCCCTACGCAGAGCTTGTGGGTTGCCTCATGTACCTGATGACTTGTACTCGCCCGGACCTCGCCTTCCCTCTCAGCATCCTTGCGCGCTTTGTTGCGCCAGGGAGACACCGTCCTGTTCACTGGACGGCAGCTGTGAGGGTGGCGAAGTACCTAGCGACTACATCAGGCGTGGGGCTAGTTCTTGGAGGGCAGCAGTCTGTCGTACTCACTGGTCACTGTGACTCCTCTTACGCTGACGACGCTGAGACTCACAGGTCTACTCAGGGGTACTGTTTCAGTCTGGGTTCTGGAGCTGTTTCCTGGCGTTCCACGCGCTCCTCTTCTGTCTCGACCTCTACAGCTGAGGCTGAGATTTACGCTGGTGCCATGGCGGCACAGGAGTTACGGTGGTTGACCTTCTTGCTCGCCGACCTTGGTGAGCGGCCGAGCTCTGCACCGACCTTGTTTACTGACAACAAGGCGTCGATCCTCCTCTGTCGTGAGCCGCGACTGGAGAGCAGAGTGAAGCACATTCACGTCAGGTACTTTCTTCTGCGAGAGTTGCAGAGGCGTGGACAGGCTCGCTTCGAGTTTGTAGAGTCCGAGGCCAACACTGCAGACATCTTCACCAAGGCGCTTCAGCCTTGTGACCACCAGAGGTGTTGTGTGCAGTTAGGCCTTGTTGACACAGGTTCTAGTCATGCGTAGACTTGAGCTTATTGCCTGCTTCGTCTGTACACTTGCTATATATATTTGTGATCTCTTGGACTGGCCTTGTGGCCACTGTTGCTTGTGCTCAGAGTGTGTGGTGACGTTGTGATCCACCCTGAGCTTTGTTTTCTTTTAGACTGGTCTTGTGACCGTACTCTTTTTTTTTTTTGTTTTTGCTAGACACCCCTCACTTAGGCTATGGGGGTGTGTCAAATGTTGTAGCCTGTAGTGAGGTTTGTCTTAGGGGGTACAGAAGTTAGGGTTTGTCATATGTACCCCAACCAACATCAATGCAACATCCATTCCTCATTCTGACACGTATGTCGCTGCCGATTCGCTACTGGGACACCCGGTTTTGGACGCTTACCTGGCCCGCCGAGGCGTTTCGGATATTCACCACCTTTCTTAAAAGGGGGGGTAGTGTAAGGAATTTTCCGGATTCCTTACTGGGTCACACAGTACGCGTACAACTCCGACTTTCGGAAAACCAGGCTCGGCCCACCGACCTCGCCCTCCGAACCACCACCGCGTCTCTTTCGGGTTTTCCAACCCCGAACCTGCACCCAACCATCTCGCGACCCTGCGACGTCGGCCTAGCTAACCTTGCTATATTGTGCCTAGGCCTCGTTGTTGATTCAGACGTTGTAATCACTTCCGCATTATTGAGTTCTGCGCACTCTTTCCTTTCACAACTTATAACAAGGCTCGTCACAGGTTGTGCTTTCCTTGGAAAGTTGTACTCTACTCGCTCGCCGCCGTCGCATCGTCATCACGGATTCTCCAGACGAGATCTGGAGCTCTGCGCGTCAGCCGTTTCTTGACGTCAGCACGGGCTTCGTATCTGAGCCAATCATGCGTCGGCCATTTGCCTACCGCCGTTCCGCGTCCAAGCCTACGCGTAGCGCCTCGAAAAATTCCGCCCAATCCGCCGTTAGTCCGCCAATCCCAATCCCAATCCCCGCACGCCTAAATCGCCGCTAGCGAGCCGAGTCGAGCGCCAGCCTGTCAGCGTGTCGGCGAGTCCACGCATCCACGCATCCACGTGTCCACGTGCCGTGCCATGGACACGTACACGCAGGCGCTCAAGGTTCTCTCTCTCGAACGCGCCGCTTTCCCCGATGCTAGCGCATCCGCCACCGCTTCCCCTCACCCCACGGGCAGCGCCCGTCAGGGTTCACTTCCCGGGCATTGGCGGCGAAGGAGGGGCGGAAGGACTTCCGCGCGCGGGGGACGGGGGGAGGCGTCTGGCGGAAAGCGCGCGCACAGGAGTCAGTCGGAGAAGAAGCCGCAAGCGAACCTGATGCCTCCGCTTTCCCCCATCTCTCCAACCTTCGCGCGTGCTGCGGACGTAACCCCCATACGCGGACACCTGGTCAGCGCTTTGCGCACAGAAACCCCCCCAGGAAGCGCCGTCGCGGCGCTATCGGCGCAAGTATCCCCCGCAGCGGCGGCGGCCGAGGGGGCTCTAGACGGCAGGCGGCGGCGGCAGCGGCTCGCAGGACGGCAGATTGCATGGGCGGCGGCTCCCGCGGAGGGAGGATTTTCTACTTCCGCTGGTTGCGATGAGACAGGGATGGGGGGAAGAGTGGGGGAGGCGCGGGGAGAGGCGCAAGAGGAAGCAGACGTGGTGGAGGTGGTCGGTGAAGGGGGGGAATGGAGGACGGGGAGCGGAGATGCGGAGGCGGGGGGAGAGAGTGGTAGTGTGAATCTGATTAAGGGCAAAATGGATGGGCGAATGGGGGAACAGAGGGGCCGGGCAAGTGGTGGGAAGGGGCTAAGAGCGTGGGAGGTGGCGGGGGGAGATGGTCAGCGGGCGGGGGAGAGGGCCACCGGTCGAGCAGGGGGAACAGAAGGCAGGATAGGGGAAGTGGGGGACTGCGAAGAGAGTAAGGAAGGGGGGAGCGCGGATGATGGGAAGGAGGAGGAAGAGCAGGAGGAGGAGGAGGGAGAGGAGGACGAGGAGGAGGAGGAGGAGGAAGAGGAGGAGGAGGAGGAAGACGAGGAGGAGGAAGGGGAGGAGGAGGAAAGGGAGGAGGAGGAAAGGGAGGAGGAGGAAAGGGAGGAGAGGAAAAAGCAGGAGGGGGTGGGTGGTGTGGAGAGAGCAGGGAAGCAGCCGAGCGGACAGGCGGCAGCAGCAGAGGCAGAGAGGCTTGTGAGTGCCGCGAGACAGGCTTCAAGTCAGCACCTGTCAGTGGGAGGAGCATCAACACAAGCAGCGCCGGTGCAAGCAGCAACAACACAAGCTGCATCAGCACAAGCAGCTTCAGCACAGCAGCTGCCATCACAACAGCCCTTGACGCTACACTCTCAGCCGCTGCGTAGGGAGCAGAGGGAGGAAGCCGGGGGAGCAGTGCCGGCGATTGAGGCGAAGGAAGAGTGTTCAGGGGAAGTTGCGTCACAGCAGCCACGGGAGGTACCACCCTCCAGGGCGCAGGGCGCTTCAGAGGCGGGCGGCGCTGGCATGGTCGGTGCTGCTGTAGGTGGTGCTGCTATGGGCGGTTCTGATGGTTGCAGCCCATGCCGTGACTCCATGGTGAAGCAGGAGCATGTGCATATGCCGTCTGATGAACATGGGCATGGGTACGGGCATGGGCACGGGCGTGGGAACAGGGATGGGCATGGGCATGGGCATGGGCATGAGAAGAACGATCCTCATGTGTCTCATAGGACAATTCATCAACAGCAGGCGACCAGTGCCCCTCACTCCACCACCCACCCATCACCCATCACACACTCCCAGCAGCCACCATGCACACCACACACACAGCGCCCACGACAACCACCGCTGCCGCCACAGGAGCAGCAGATATCACAGCAGCAGGAGCCACACTCACAGCAGCATCAACAGCTGGCTGTGTCCAATCCCTCTGCTGCTGTCCCCAGCCCCGCTGCTGCTGCTGCTGCTGTGGCCACTCCAAGGCCGAGGCCCAGCGGGGGCTTCTGGGCCCACGTGGAGGGCTTCTTCCGCCCCGTCACCACCGCTGACGTGGCGCTGCTCTCCCCTGCTGCTTACGTGGCACACTTCAGCCACATCACGGAGCGAGATCCCGCCTTTGCCCTGCCGCCTGCGGGCCACCGCCCACCATTGAAGCACCAGTTGATGTTGAAGGCACAGGCGGGCGGACAGGAAGGGGCACGGCAGGTGGAGGGGCAGGGGCTGGGTCACGGGCAGGGCCTGAGTCCGGGGCAGGGGCACGGACAGGGGAAGTGGAGGGGGGATGCAGAGGGTCGTCTGGGGGGCCAGGGGGATGAGGGAAGGGCTGGGGAGGGTGGGCAGGGGGGAGCAGGGGGAGGAGGGGGACGGGAAGGGATGCAGCTGCAGGGGCCGCAGTTGCAGCAGCAGCAGCGGGGGGGGGGAGCAGCAAGAGCGAGGCGAGCAGCAGCCGCAGAAGCGGAGGAGGCAGAGGCAGCAGGGAGGGGTCGTGACGGCTGAGGGGAGCGATAGGCAGCTGCGGAAGAGGAGGGGGGGGCAGGTGGGGGAGGGAGGCGATGGTGCTGCTGCGGGGGGCAGGGCTGGGGTGAGTGACGGGGCAGTGAGTAGTGGGATTGGGGTGGCTGGTGGCGATGTGACCGTGGTGGTGCCTGGGAGTAAGAGGCGACGCACTCGACTGCCTGGCGCTGGGGGTGCTGGGGGTGCTGGGGGTGCTGGTGGTGCTGGCAGTGGTGCTGCTGCTGGTGCTGGTAGTGCTGCTGCTGGTGCTGGCGACAGTGGCGGTGCTGCTGTTACTGCTGCTGGTGCTGGTGCAGCTGCTAGTGAGAGGCAGTCTGGCTCTCCTACTGCCGTCACAGGAGCAAATAGTCAGATGCATGTGGGAGCATCTGGTGCTGCTGCTGTCTGCACTGCTAGTGGCGCTACTGCTGCTGCTGCTGTTGCTGACTGTGGTGCCACGACTGCAGTGGCTTTAGCGGGTAATTTCAGGAATGCAACTGGCAGTGATGCCGGTGTTGCTCATGATTGCAGTGTGGATGCTGGTGGGGTGCGTGGTGGTGCTGCTGGCGCTGCTGTTCACCCTGTAGCCTTACCTCCTGCTGTTCACCCTGTAGCCTTACCTCCTGCTGTTCACCCTGTAGCCTTACCTCCTGCTCCTGGCGCTGCCGGTGCCTTCACTCCTGCTGCTGCTGCTGCTGCTCCTGCTTCTGCTGCGGCGGCTGCTGTTCCTGCTGCTATTATTTCTGCAGCTGCTGCAGCAGCTGCGTGTGATCCGCCTGCGTCTGCTGGCAGAGGGAGGGGGGGGAAGAGAGCAGGGCGGGGAAGGGCCAGGGGAGCAGCAGCGAGAGCAGAGAAAGAGGAGGGGATGCTGGTGACTCTCGTGTCTCCGCCTCTTTCGCATGCAATTGCTCAGGCCACGGGAAGGGGGATGCACGGGGGAGGGAAGGGAGCAAAGGGGGGAGCAGAGGAGGAGGAGGGGGGAGGGGAGGGGGAGGCGTGTGACGTGTGTTGCCAGACGGAGAGCGACGATGCGAACCCCATTGTGTTCTGCGATGGCTGTGACGTGGCTGTTCACCGCCAGTGCTACGGCATCCCCCCTGCTGCCCTGCTGCCCGTGCAGCGAGAGGAAGGCATGAGTGGGGACGTGCAGAGAGGACTGGACCACGGAGAGCGGGTCCAAGGGAGCAGGGAGCAGGGAGGAGGGCAGCAGGGTAGGGAGCAGGGCGGGGATGGTGAGGAGGAAGAGGCAAGTCTGCCGTGGCTGTGTGCGCGGTGCTGCAGCACCCGGCCTGCTCAGGTCCGCTGTGCGCTCTGCCCCGTGCTCTCCGGTGCCTTCAAACCCGCCCTCCCCGGCGCCCCTCCCTCTGCTTCCTTGGAGCCCACTGCACCGGTAGCAGAGCAGCAGCAGCAGCAGAAACAAGGGGAGCAGCAACAGGCTCAGCAAGAGCAGCAGCAGCAGCAGCAGCTGCTGCAGGACGAGCAGCAGGATGAGCTATTCGCGCATCTGTTCTGCAGCCAGTGGGTGCCGGAGACGTACGTGGGCGACCCAGAGAGCATGCAGCCCGTGTGCAACGTGGGGGGCGTCACCCAGGAGCGCCGCCGCATGCTGTGCTGCCTCTGCCGCTCCAAGGAGGGTACCTGCATCCAATGCAGCCATGGTGAGTGGTGGGTAAGCCACGGTGAGTGATGGGTAAGCCACGGTGAGTGGTGGGTAAGCCACGGTGAGTGATGGGTAAGCCACGGTGGGTTGAGTGAAGCATCCAGTGCAACGTGGCAGGTCAGTGAGGAGTGCTGTTGCATGCTCTGTGCTGCCTGTGCCGCTGCAGGCAGGGCAAAATGCACCCACAGTAAGTTGAATCAGGCAGGGCTGTGAGAATTGTCAAAAGTTGCAGGCAGGGCTGTGCTTTGAGTCCGTGCGTGGTTGACACTCACTTCTTTGCGTCGCCTTTCCTCTTTCCCACATGCCGATCGGCCCAGTTACCCTGCTCTTGTGCTTCTCCCATCCTTCTCCTTTCTCCCCCCTCTCCTGCACCTTCCCCCCTTCTTTCCTCCCCACCCCCCCTCCTTCCCCCCAGGCATGTGCGCAGTGCCCTTCCACCCCATGTGCGCGCGCCAGGGGGGGCTCCTCATGACCCTCTCCGCCTCCCCCTGCTCCCCCCGCGTGCTCCTCAAGGCCTTCTGCCCCCGCCACTCCGCCCTGCGCCTCCCCCCCCTGCTGCAGCAGCTGCAGGCAGGGGCAGGCGGAGGGGGAGGGAAAGGGGGAGAGGGTGGGGAGGCGGGGAAGGAAGGGGGAAGGGTGAGGGCAGGTGCTGGGGCGGGTGAGAGGGGGCAAGGTGGTGGGGGGGAGGGCGAAAGGGTGGATGGGGGGGTTGTAGGGGGAGCGGTGGGATTGGGGTGGGTGGGAATGGGGGAGGGAAGCAGGGGGGTTGAGAGGCATGGGGAGGAAACGGATGAGGGAGAGGAGGAGGGTGGGGAAGAAGGGGAGGGAGGGGAGGTCGGAGGGGAGGAGGGAGGAGAAGTGGGGGTAAAGAAGGAGGGGGGGCTGCAAGGAAGCTCGGCCAATGGGTATGGGCCTTGCCGGTTGGAGAGTACTGGCAATGACGTGCGTGTGGTGGGCGAGGGGCAAGGAACCGGGCAGATGGATGGGGTTGAGGAGGGGGAGAGGGGCGGAGGAAATGGAATGCTGGTGGAGAGAGAGGAGGGAGAAAGAGAAGAGGGAAGGAGGAGGGAGGAAGGGAGGGAGGGTGCAGATGCAGAAAGGGGGATGAACAGAGGGAATGTTGGGTCTTGTGCTGGTGGTGGTTGTGATGATGGTGGTGGTGCTTGTGGTGCTGGTGATGCTTGTGGTGCTGGTGATGCTGATGCTGCACGTGGTGATGTCATAATGAAGGATGCAAGTGCGTCATCAGCAGCAGCACAGGCAGCAGCAGGGGAGGTAGCAGGGGGGGCACCAGCAGGAGTTGATACAGTGGCAGCAGCAGTAGGCGTAGAGGAGTCAGATGATGATGATGATGATGTGGTGGTGGTGGTGGAAGAGAGATCAGGAAGGGAGGAGGTGGACGCAACAAGAGCAGTTGAAGCAAGGGGGGAGGTCAGAGCAGCAGGAGCGGAGTCATTAAATGGGCCGCCAGAGATGGCAGGAAGGAGCGTGCGTAGTGAAGCAAGAGTGGCTGCTGGTTCTGCTGTGACGCCAGTCGCATGTGCCGATGTGGCGCCAGCAAAGCAAGCCGAGGCAGACGTGGAATGGCCTAGATGGGAGGGCGCTGCTGCGCTGGCACTGAGTCAGCAGGTGCGGTGCCATGCGTATGTGCAGAGATATGCCGAAATGCTGCAGGGGTTAGGTGGGGAGCGAATGGGGGCGTCAGGAAACGAGGGAATGGAGAGGGGGGAGGGAGAAGGTTGTCTGGGGCGTGTGAAGGATGAAGGAGAAGGGGAGGAAGAGGAGGGGGGAAGAGACAACAGAGAGGAAGAGAAGCAAGGAGGGGAGCAGAAAGTGGGCAGTAGGGAACGGGGAGCACCTCTGATTGTATCAAGTAACGCACTGGTGCAGGTGGTACCTGAGGGAGGTACACCTGAGGACGAGGTCACATCAGAGCTCATCATAGCACAGACCCAGCTGCTGTCCGTCCTGCACACCCTCTCCCACCGCTCTCAACACCTGCTGCACCGCATGCTACCGCGCCTGCAGACGGAGAGGCAAGCAGCAGAGGCGCAGCAGCAGGGGAAGGCGGCAGTTGAGGAGTATTTGGGCGTGCTGAGGGAGCAGCGCAAGCAGGGGCGGCGGGACCGGCGGGAGAGGGAGGCGCAGGCTGTGCTGGCAGCGGCTGAGGCTGCTGCTGCTGCGTCTCCCCGTGTGGGGCATCTGAAGCGCGACCCTGCTGGGCCTGCTGGGGTGGGTGCTGCTGCTCCTGCTCGTCCTCTGGGCGTTTCTTCTCTTGCTGCTGCTCCTGCTAGTCCTCTGGGCGTTTCTTCTCTTGCTGCTGCTGGTCCTGCTGCAGGTGCTGCTGCTGCTGCTGCTGCTGCGGGTATGGGTAGTGGTGCGGGTGGTGTGGTTGGTGTGTCTCCTTCTTGGGGGCTTGGTGGGAGGGCGTGGGGAAGGGGATGGGGAGGAGGGAGAGGGAGAGCGGGTGCGGGAATGACGAGGCTGGGGGGAGCGTTTGGCAGCCCCTCTGCTGCTGTTCCTGCTGCTGCTGACGGTGGTACTGCCACTGCTGCAGCGGTTGGTGGTGTTGGTGCTGCCAGTGGTGGTGGTGGTGGTGATACAGGTACGGCTGCTGATGCAGGGCGGGTGCAAGCATCCCCCTTGGCGTCCCGCCCCTCCCTCTTCCCCTCTGCATCAGCCCGCCCTGGGCTTGCTGGTGCTGCCAGAGGGGCCAGGGGGAGAGGTTCGTGGGGCCGGGGCAGGGTCCGGGGGCGTGGGGCATGGACAGGGGGAGGGCGAGGGCGAGTGGGGGGGAGAGTTGGGGGAAGAGGAGGAGGGAGAGTGGGAGGGAGAGTGGGTTGGGGCAGGAGATTGGATGTGTCTTCGGGGTTGAATGGTGTGGGTGTTGAGGGGGATGGACAGATGGAGAGTGGTGCAGCGAGGTATGGGGAGGTGGGGGAGGCAGTGGAGGAGGAGGAGGAAGGGGAGCGCAATGGGGAAGGTGAGGGAGAGGAGGGGGGTTTGTGGAGGGAGTGTGGGGCGTGCTGGCAGAGGGAGTGTGGGCCGCACAGGAGCATGATTGAGTGCGGAAAGTGCCACGTGGCAGTTCACCATTGGTGTTACGGTGTGCCTGAGGGGAAGTTAGAGCCATGGTTGTGCCAGGTGTGCCGCTGGGATTGGATGGTGAAGGGGGAAGAGCGGGACAAGCATCAACAGCAGGATCAGCAAAAGCAGCAGCAGCAGCAGGTGGAGCAGCAAGCGGAGCGGCAGCATGAGCAGCAGAGGTCACAGCAGTCTCGCCCTCCTCCACTTGAAACCCACTCACCTGCACCCCCCCACCCGCCTCCCCTCCCGTCACCAATGCCCTCTCCCCCCCATGTCCCATGTGCCCTCTGCTCTCCTGCTGTGTGCCTGGGCGCTGCTGGGCAGGAGAACCGGGAGGGGGGCGAGGAGAGGAAGAGGGGCGAAAGGGGGAAGGGGGCAGAGGGAGGGGAGGTGGGTGAGGGAAAGGAAAGGGAGAAGCATAGCACAGAGGCTGGGAGACGACAAGGGGGAGAGGCAGGAGCAGTGCTCGGCGAGGTGGGGAGTGGAGAAGGAGGGGAGGGAGTGGAAAAGAGGGGAATTGATGGGGTGACGGGAGGAGAGGGAGTGAGAGTGGAGGGGGGCAGTAGAGGGGTAGATGTTGTGCTTTCAAGGGCAGGCACCTCGCAGGGAGTGGATAGTGGGGGAGAGGAGGAGATGGAGGGGACAGCGAGAAGGGATGGGGTGATAGAGATAAGAGGTGGAGGAGGAAGTGGTGCAGATGGGGGGAAGGTTGGGGTCATGAGCGGGAGCGGGGAGGGGGAGGGGAAAGGAAGGGTGGAGAATTCGGGGTGGCTGGCAGTGAAGCGAACAGAGCAGGGCGAGTGGGTGCATCTGCTGTGCGCTCAGGTATGCCTCTCACTCACCCACTCACTCACTCACTCACCCACTTGCTCGTTCACTCATTCACTCACTCACTCGACCACTCACTCACCCCCTCACTCGTGCACTCACTCGCTCAGTTTCTCACTTACCCACTCACTCACTGACCCGCTCACCCACTTGAAGGCGTCTTTTCTCAAGCTGAATATCTGTTTCCCCACCACCATTCCTCTCGACCCCTCCTCTTCCCTCCAGGTGCTGTTTCCTGACTGTGCTGTGCTGGGTGCGCCCGAGGATGAACCCCTTTGCCTCACTGTGAGTATATCGGAGGGCACTCGTTTGAAGTTTAGGGTTGCAGCCCTCGTTACAGGCACCTCCTTTGAAGCACACACCTTTCCAAGGTAGCACACACGCATGGTGATCTCGGTTCAAGGGATGCTAAGGCCCTTCAATCCACACTCATGCTATCTCTCCATCCCACACTTGCTTCTCCCTGCCTCAGTTCCTTCCCTCTCTTCCTCCCCTCCCTCTCCCACCCCCCCCTCTCCCACCCTCGTTGTGCTAATCCCGCTCACTCCACTCCTCCTCTCTCCCCCTCACATCATCCCACCACGGACCATCAGGGCGCCGTCCCTCCCACCATACAGCAGCGCCGCTGCTGCTTCTGCCACTCCTCATCTGCACACCCATGCACGCAGGTACGGATTGCAGATTGCAGGAGGGCTGCCAGGGGTGTGAAACGGTCCCAGTGGGTTGAGAGAGGCCAGATTGGGGTGTGAAGCGGGTGTGGGGGCTGAGAAAATGGTTGGGAACCCTTTTGAGAAAATGGTCAGGAACCCTTTTTCTTGTGTGATATCTTCTGTATAACCTCCTCTCTATATCTTCCTGTTTTTCCCCACTTCTAACACGCTCTCCTCTCCACAGGGTTCTCCCCCCTCAATCCTCTCCTCTCATCCCACCTTCCCCTGCTCTCTCTTATCCACCATCCCTTATCTCCCGTTATCCCTTGTTCCCCACCCCTCGTTCCCCGACTCCCTATTCCCCCATCCAAACCTCCTCGCTGCCCGCAGTGCACCACGCCAGGCTGCCCCCGTGTAATGCATCCCATGTGTGCGCGCCACTGCTCTCGCCTCTCCACTCCCCCGCCACCTCAACAGCCACCTCAACAGTCCCCTCCTGTCTGCACTCCTATCCCACCTCCCTATACCGCCACTGCCACTGCCACAACCCGCGCCACTGCCCCCACCACTGCCGCTGTCTCTCCTGCTCCTCCCCCAACAGCCTGTCCCACCGCCGCTGGTATCGCCGCTGCTAATTCTCCTGCCATTGCAGCACCTGCTGCTATTTCCTCTCCTCCTCCTCCTCTCTCCTCCACTCCTTCTTCCATTCCTGCTCCAGTGCCCTCCCATCCTCCCCCCTCTCTCGCAGCAGCACTCCCTCCTCCTCCTCCACCCACTGCCACCACTGCAGTCCCTGTCAAACCCACTCGGGCAGCTGTGAAAATTCACTTGTACTGCCCAGAGCATGCAGCAGCTTCCGGCATCCGAAATCTCGACCCCCATTCCCAGCAATCCCGCCTCCCTAGTAGCACCTCCCTGCTCCCCTCCAACGCACCTCTGTTTCCCTCAAAGCGCCGAGCTTCAGTTTCCTTCGTGGATCATGAGGATCAGAAGAGACGCTGTGTGGGAGTGGCTGAGGGGGAGGGTGGGGATGATGATAGAGTGGGTAGGGTGATGGTGGGTGGAGCAGGGAGACAGGCGTGTGGATCGGAACAAAGCTCGCAGGAAGAGCAAGCAGGGGGTGTGACGACTAGGCCATTGTTGAAGGTAAGGCAAGCATTGTGTGTGGTAATTGCCATTGCAATACGTCTTTTGGGTGTTAAGCTATACATCATGGGCTACGCATGTTTGCTTATGTGTGCATGCTTGTGCCCCTGTGTGCTCCTGTGGCTCTGTGTATGCTTGCAGCTGCAGTTGTCATACCTCGCTACACATGCGGCAGCGCGTGCCCTAAATGCACGCTTGCCTCCAGGCTATCGATACGTGCCCGTCACTAAACTCGATAATCATTAACACAATCTAGTCACTAACAAATCATCATAATGGCCGACCGCCCATAGATGTGCAGCTGTGATTGCACATTTTTTGTATAGAGTGGATAGATTACCGTATAGGTTACGTAGGAGGCACTTCTATAGAATAGTATAGAGGGTGCTGTGGTCTCACATGCCAAGCTTTCACTCAAATTGGAGCTACATTTTCAAGGATATTCCAATGATAGTCCTCCAGACTTCTTGTAATAATTTCTGTATATGCTTTTTGAATTCAGAACCGATGCACCAACCCGCTATACACCCTGTTTCGCGCTAGCAGAGCATCTGGTTGCAGAACATGCACTGGTTGTAGAACGTCACCACGTTTGAAATGGTCTTATCACCGACGGTACAAGCACATTCACAAAAAAGCGGTTAGCTAGGATGCTGCATGGTAAAGAACAGTAACCAAGCGTTTAAAAGCGGTTAAAAAGGGTATACAGCGATAAAGAAAAATTTTGCCCCCAGTACCACTCCGTCAGCTGGTGCGGCTTTGCCCGCAGGTTTCAGCCATACGGTTTATGGCACCTGACCGCACTGTAGCAGCGAATCGCGCAAGGTGAGAGGGTCGAGAAACAGGGTGTATACTCGTCTCCATCACATCGCGGGATGATCGGAGTTCCCTTTGCCCGCCGAAGCTGTTTGTCAGTCAGCTCAAACCTCCCCGCGAAATCCCGAATCCCGATCCCCCCTTCCTTCACAAAAGCGTTCCGCGAATTCCCAGCACCCTACGCCGCTTCCCCCCATCCTCCCGCTTTTTCCCCCGCGCGCTCGTTCACCTGCACTAAGCGCATCTCATGTTCCTCTTCCGCTCGCTATGGGCCATCAAATCCGGAGTCGATGAAACACTTGTAACTAGGTATTTAGGACCAGCAGCTATTTAGCTTGACGTGAACGTGCGCCGTTGCCGTAGTTACTGCAGCATCGCCTTAGTATCGCCGTTTCTTCGTGGTGCACGTGCCTCTGCCACATCTATAGTCTCATAAAGGCGTGGTGATAACACTTCCCCTGTGACGCTGCTTCCGAGGTGTCCCTTCAATTTTCATTTATCTAGAAGCAATTCTTCTAGCGCTAAATGGCAGCGTCCTCCCTCAGACCAGCAGTCAACCAGGTTCGGTTCTTCTCATCCACCGACGCTGCATCTCCTTCCGCACGTCAGAACACTGCGTGCATGGCGATGGCTCCCAGCGCATCGATCTCCCCCCACTGCACCCATCAACCTAATCTACGTTTCCAGACTAGTACCAAATCTCGTTCGCGGAGTAACATCACCAGTTCCTTCTTTGGAGATTCTCTGCCTCGGTTTCAACCGGCGTCCATTCCTGCAGCATCAGGCCTCCAACCGCAGCGGAAGGTCGCCAGACGGAAGCTTTGGAGCTCGCCGCAGGCGGTGTTCCAATGGGGAAAGCGGCCGGAGTATAAAGGAACGCCACCACGTGTCATAGTGGTGACTTCGGGGAAAGGCGGCGTGGGAAAGACGACAATGGTAGCTAATATCGGAATGTGCCTGGCTCGGTTGGAGTTTAAAGTCGTCGCGATAGACTGCGACGTGGGTCTCAGGAACCTCGACTTGCTCTTAGGGATGGAGGCTAGGGTATTCCACACCGTTCAAGATGTGTTGGCAGGGGAGGCTCGACTTGATCAGGCGCTTGTACGCGATAAGCGCGTCCCCAATTTCGAGCTTCTTTGCATTTCCAAACCTCGGTCCAAGATTGATTTGAATTTCAGCGGCAAGTCGCTGATTCTCCTTGTGGAAGCCTTAAGAGAGCGCGAGGAGGGGTGCCCAGATTTCATTCTCCTGGACTGTCCGGCGGGGATCGAAGCTGGTTTCATAACAGCAATTACGCCGGCCAACGAGGCGATTATCGTGACCACGCCGGACGTGACGTGTCTGAGGGATGCCGACAGGGTTGCGGGGCTGTTGGAGTGCGACGGGATAACGAACGTGTCGCTGTTGGTGAACCGCGTGCAGGCAGATCTGATCAAGCAAGGCCAGATGATGTCCGTCGGGGACGTCAGGGAAATGCTCGTGAGTCCATTGGCTCCGCACCTCTCCTTAACCCTCCCTCCGCCCCCTTTTCAATCCCCGTTCCCATCACTCGCTCGTTTCCTCCAACCCATTTCCTCCTCCCTCCCTTTGCAAGTACTTTTGAGTGCTGTGCTGTTTTTTCACCTTCCCTTTGTTTGCGTGCGAGAAAATCATCTTGAAGTGACAAACGAGACGTAGACGTTTTGGGTGAACTGGCTGAGGATAGGTATGCTCTTGAATTACTCTCCTGGCCACTTGGTTGACTGCTAGAGACACCAGCCGTGTACTGCTTTGTAGGTCCATTGACCATGCTGCTCCCTCCCCCTCCCTCCCGTCTTCCTTCCCCCCTACCCTTTCCCCCCTCCCCCCAAACCCTTCTTGGTATGATGTGTCAATGTGATCATGCAGGGACTTCCGCTGTTGGGGGTTATTCCGGAAGACACAGCAACCATTGGTGCATCCAACCAGGGAATGCCGCTTGTGCTAAAGAAGCCACCTACCATGGCAGGCCTGGCAATGGAGGCTGCAGCTTGGCGGCTGGCTCAAGGGGAGCAGATGGATGTGGTTGTGCTTCCGGAGGAGAAGAAAGGGTTTCTCGCCTTTTAGTTAAGGCTTGCTCGCCATGGACAAAATCCTGAGTAGAAGGAATGTTTGTCATGTTCCAAATGTAGGCAGTGGTTTAGAGAAGTACGGTAGAACCTGCTTTGTGCATCGTGTTTTTCCTGGTTGCACACTGGGAGTGACACCCATGAATGTATAATCCCCATGATTATTCATGTGTGTGGCAGCAGCCAGGCCAATCATTAGTTTAGTCATGTCCATATGTCTTGTGTTCCTCCATCACCCATGAGGTATTTGAACTGCTTTGACTGGCTGTATTGACGTTTCATACCGAAATGAGCAATTGGAGCATAAGCCCCCTGTGGAAGACAAGTATTTTGCCCCATTGCAAAAGTTCAGATTGAGTTACTTAAACTAAGAGATATCTGCTAAAATCTCAAAACTTTTCTTACTGACTCTAGCCTGACTAAATTAGAGGGCAGGAGGCATTTGGGGCCTTCCACCGAGGAACGACAAAAACCCAGCAGAATCCGAATCGTCCAAAAAGAGGTCATCTGGAACCCTGAATGCTGCATGCACGGTGATGGCCACGGCGCCTATCACAACCCCGGACATGAGAATGGAGCCCACTGATGTCAGTCCGAAGACGACAACCACGGAGATTACCACCATCCCAAGAAACTTTTCCCGCTCGTTCAGCGTTCTTCCAGCGACAACGATCGGCTCCGTGCGGACCATGAACACGTACACCCAGCCAGATCCGAGAAGACCCAGCCACAAAATAGCTGTTGGATTCCAGAGCATGCTGAGGACGACTACCGCGATGAGAATGCCCAGGTAATTCGCCCGAAAGTAGCCCAGGTTCTTGCGAATCCGGCTGAGAGCGTCATTCAGGCTTTCAGGCTTGGCTAAACTGGAGCGGTCAATGAGCTCGTTCCACGGACGCTGCTGAGCGGTGGCTGCAGCATATGACTCCTGAACTTTGGTTATGAGCGACCGTACGGCGGAAGCCGATGGGTTTCCAGCCATGGAGGCTCCTGGAGCAACAGCTGCCATGGAATGACACTGTCTAGAGCTAGTCAATCAAGGCTAGTTGATGGATGGATGAGAATTGCAGGCTAAATGAAGAGTTGGCAGTGAATCGAGGTAGGAGACAGTAAATACTTGCCAAGCACGAAGAGCGATCTGCAAGTGTGCGACAGTCGTAATCCTTGGTGAGCTAAGAATCTGAAAAAAGAAGAGCTTGAAATCTGGTTGTTGCGAAACAGAAGCCAGTGAATATGTAATAGTGTCTTCACGAGTTTGATGGCGGAAACGAAGGGTGGTGTATGATGGCCAACACCGAGGTGCACAGGCGGAGCTGACACACCCTAGCAAGCGGTACGCGTTTCGGAGATCTGATGTGAGGCCGTGTCTGATTGGTCGTGAGAGTTTTTGCGGACCTAAGCAGCACCGAACCTCGGCAATTCCACCCCGTGAGTGTATAGGTTGGGCGCGTAGGGGTTCGGCGAGTACTTTGTGTGACAGGTTCGGACCCGACCTGAACCTGGCTCAACGGCAAAATCTTGGTTCTGCTACCTGTCTGTTTTGTGACACCGGTGAGCGAATTCGAGGGGTAACATTTGTCTTCGCACAACAACATCGCCAAAACGTGAAGTGCAGCTGGGAGCTTTTCCACACAACGGTCGGTCAGAATCAGCCTACTGAATTCTCCATGCCCAGTCAGAATCAGTTCCAGCAAATCTAGTCGGCACCAATACTCTTGACCTTGAGCAGTCAGGCAGACGAAGGCGGCTTGATCTAGAATAATATAAACTGCTATGGCGTCTGTTCCTGGAGGTGCGGTAGAGGGAAATCCGACAGGGATGCGGGCGCTTGTAGCTAAAGTCCAGGATTCTTATCGGAATGCGATAGCGCAGCAGCGGCCATGGAGCGAGCTGACGGATCGGTCACTGTTCGCGAGACCCGACAACCTTAACGATGCGCTTGGGAGAATTCGCAAAAATACTAGTTACTTTCAGGCGAATTACCTCTCGATCCTTATCGTCGTCGTTATTCTCTGCATGCTCTGGAATCCGACTGCCATTCTCTGGCTAGCTCTCCTCGCAGCCGCTTGGGTATACATCTTCATGGCTCGCACGGATGCGCTGATCATCGCTGGAAGGACCCTTAACGAACGCGAGAAGTTTCTTGCCATGGCGGTCATATCCGTCGTTGTCGTCTTCGGGCTGACGTCCGTCGGATCTATTCTCATGTCGGGTCTGGTGATGGGTGCTGCTGCGATCGCTGCGCACGCCGCCTTCAGGGTCCCTGACGACCTTTTCCTGGATGACAATGAATCTGGAAGTTTTCTGTCGTTCCTTGGAGGAAGAAGTACTGTTCCCATTCCAACGGCCATTTAAGACGATTAGCTCCGTGCGTCCGTCGGATGCAGCTTGTTAGAGGTCCTCCTTCGCCCGTCCCTGCGGTTGTCTGATGCAAGTCTCGGAGTTTATTACGTCTGCTCCCGTTGTCATTGCAACTGATTTGCTTCACCTGTCTTTCAGCTTGCCTGTGTGCATCGCCTGGGCACATACAGCATCTTTATACATTCCTCCACATGGGCTTCATTAGCTCCTCTTGCTTAGTATTATGTCCGTCCCATTCTGCCCTAATCCCCCCTAGATGCTGCCATTTCAAACTCCAGATTGAATTTCTAGTGAAGGTGTCCATTCAATAGTGGTACTGCATCCTCTGTACCTTAGGCACTGGCTAGTATCATAAAACCTCCATGTATAAGCATTGTGAATTGTGATAATTTTAATAGGCTCGTGTCCGAGAACAATGCCAAACGACTACCTCACGAGCAGATATACTCAGAAGAGGAAAACGAATGCCCTGCCACAGCAAATGGTGGCTTGCCTGAAGCCATAACCTCACCCACAGTAACGCCTGACAGCGACGACCCTCTACACTCAAACTCCACGCGCACGCGGTATGCCGCCATCTCCCGTGCCTTGCGGTCCTCCTCCGCCTGCTTCTCCTCCGCTGTCCTCTCTGCCGCCCCGTGCACCAAGTCATCTGGAATCACGGGGATCTGAGCCCTCAGGCGCTGCGGTGGGTCATTGGACTGGTGGCAGATGGTGGGGTGGGTGGTTGGGTGGGTGGAAGAAAGAGCCGGAGGTGGATTTGGAAGGTGAGGAAAGGATTGTTGCTGGAGCAGAGTTAAGGAGGAAAAATTCTGGCTGAAAAAGGTCAACAAAATGCGACAATGGAAGTACATGGAGTGGGAAATGGGAGCAGGGGTTGTCAGGAAGAGTGGTTGGGAGCATTGATGTGGGTGATGGCACATACATTGATTTGTGGGACATGCCACCTCAGCTCCTTAGTCCATGGGTCAAGCTGTGCCCTGCCAGGAAGTAAGGGATCACGGCGAGTGGAGACGCCAACACAGGAAAGAGGAAACATGCACGCAGGTGGGCTTGGTTTGACCATTCTGCAGGGATCAACCAGGTAAATGAATGCGAGAAACATTGCACGCAGGAACAAGATGCCAAAATGGCAAATCCTGCGGTTAGGTTAATAAAAATGCTGCTTGTGGAGGGAAGGAGCTTACTCTGGGTTGAGGCGGAGAGAGGCAGGGGAGAAGGCGAGGGAGAGGATGAAGGTGACATTCATCAGCGGTGCTTGCAGGTACGGGTTCGCCACGTACTGCGAGGAGGGGGCGCAGGGGGGTGTGTGTGTAGGTGCGCGAGAATGCATGGATTGGCCATACGCACGCGCATCATTTACAGGTGGGGCGTGTGCTTGGATAAGAGGAATGCTGGGAGTGAGAGACATGTGCAATTTGACATGTGCCAAATGACATGTGCAATTTGACATGTGCCAAATGACATGTGCAATTTGACATGTGCCAAATGACATGTGGAGCACAACTGGGGTTAAGAGGGAGGGGGTGCTGGCAAGTGAAGAGGTGAGGCCTGCTAGCAAGTGGAGAGGCACGAACCTGGATCATGAGTGAGAGCGCTTCATCACTCCTCCGTGTCACGAACCTGGCAGGCAGCGATGGCAGGCAAAGCACAAGAAAACGTTGAATAGAGCAACACTGAATGAGAGGTGAGAGCGGGGGCGAAAGGAGCACACAGATGGTCCAGCCAGAGGCATCAACCAACCAACCATCCATGCTCAGCCACAGTCTAAGACGTTTTGAGCCGACCAAACCAAGATTCATTTTGTAGAACAGAGTCCACGCCTTTCGAATCACACCTTTGTCCAGCTTCTACCTACAGTTTACAGCACCATCCTGGGAAAACGCTAGCCTCGCACGCACCTGAGTCGCAGCGGAATGGGCGTGTACCGCGGCTGCAGGCGATACTTCATCAGCACAAACTCCTGCGCCCGCCCCTCCGCCCCCCCCGCCCCCTCCCCTTCTTGCCCCCACGCATCCCCCTCCCGGGGATTCACCACCTCCCCCATGCCCTCGTCCCCGTCCCCCAGCAGGTCCGCCATGGGGGGTGGCTGGGGGGAGGCTGTGACAGCAGAGGGGGCGGAGAGCGGGGGGAAGGTGGTGCCGGGGGGAGGCATGCGGAAGTGGAAATAACCCTTCCCCAGGTCGCTCACTATGCCTGGGCGCATGGTGCAGCGCTGGGAGGAAGGGGGGGGGGAGAGGGTGGGGGAGGGGGTGGATGGACAAGAAGCGGAGGAGAGGGACAGCAGAGGGGCGTGTGGACGGGAGGGGGAGCATGTGAGGGAATGCAGTGGGGGGAGGAGAGGAGAGGCAAGGGTTCCTGCACAACAGAGCAGGCAGGGCACGCACCTTGATGGCGCCAGAGCCCTCCAATCGGAAGGAGAACTCGTCCGCCACACTCCCGTCCTTCTCCGCTCCTCCACCCACCCCCGCCCCACTGCCCCCCCCGCCTCCCCCACCAATAGCGCCACCGCCACCCCCCATCGCCCCCCCTGCAGCGAGCGCTGCGGCCTTGGGCGTTGGGAGGGCGAGGAAGACGGTGCCGGAGAGGCGCACGCGCGTGAGCGAGGACCCGAGGAAGTCCGCACTGATGCGCTCCTCCACGCGGAACGTGGGCTGTGTGGGGCCCGCTGGCGTGGCCGGTGTTGCTGCTGCTGGCGGCGTGCTGGCTGCTGGGGTTGACACTGCAAGGGAAGGGGTGGGGAGGAAACAGAAAAGGCGAGAAGATACGGCTTTTGAGTCGGCAAAAGGAGATTGGGGGGGATAATAATTGACATCAAGACATTGAGTGCGCAGAGCTCACCATCCATGGCGCCCAGCCCAAGTGCCACCTCCAGCTGCCGTGCAGCCGCCACCGCTGACCCCCCTGCCGCCCCCTCTCCCCCCCCCAGCGCCGCGCCCAGGTCCCCCCCGCCGCCCAGCCCAAACGCGTCCTCCTCCCCCTGCTCCACCCCAAACTCTGCTGCGTCCAGCCCTCCCCCCCACGCGTCCCCATCCCCCCCCAGCAGCGCGCTCCCCCCGAAGGCCGTCCCCCAGGCGTCGTCCCCCTCGTCGTCCCCCAGCGCGGCGAGCCCCCCCAGCCCCTCCGCCTCCAGGTCCGCCCCAAACGCGTCCGCCATGCTGTCTGACGCGAAGGGGTCCAGCGCGGAGGGGGGGGGCGCGGAGGACAGCCCCGCCTGGGGGGGGAAGGGGGAGGGGGATGGGGATGGGGAGGGGGAGGGGAAGGGGGATGGGGAGGGGGAGGGGAGGGGGAGGGGAGGGGGAGGGGGAGGGGATGGGGGAGGGGGAGGAGGATGGGGGGAGAAGGTTTGGGAAAGGGTGGGTTGGGAGAGAGGGGAAGGAAGAGAGGTAGCAGGGAAGGTGGGAGGTTGAAGAAGGCGGGGCAAGAGGACAGGCAAATGCAGCAAGAAAGCAGACAAGGTGGACAGCAGACGGAGCGGAGAAGGAGAAGTTGGGGGGAAGTGAAAAGAAAAGAGGGGCACGAAGAAAGAGAAAGGCAGGAATGTTTAGAGAACATGAAGAGAGGCGCATCTCACCTCGAGCTCCGCAAGCAGCGATGCGGGATCATTCTCTGGCCTCTTCCCCGCACCCCCTGCTGCCGCCACATCCCCCACCCCACCCGCTCCCCCAGGACCCGCGTCCAGCAGCGCGAGCTCGCCCCCCCCGCCTCCCAGCAGGCTGTCACTGGCGGCAAAGGGGTCATCCGCGGAGCCCAGCAGCGCCAGCGCCGCCAGGGGGTCCGAGGCCGCGGAGGGGCGCGGAGAGGGCGTGGGGGGCGCGGGGGGGGCTTCGAAGGCAGGCTGGGAGGGCGCCGGGGCGAACGCCTCCATTGTCTCGTCGCCCGCTGCTATGGCCTCCTCTGGTAGCTCGAAGTGCGCTGATGACATGTACTGCGAAGGAGGGGATGAGAGGAGGGGTGGGGGGGGAAGGGGAGTTTAAGAAGTGGCTGGGTTGGAAGACTTGGGACTAGGGCAAATGAACAATACTATGATGAAGATATCACTTCACCACTACCCAGCCCCCTGGAGGTCCCCTCGTCAACGGTCGCACCTCAACACCACCGTCACGAGCCCTTCCTCGCCACTCCTTCTCTCCTCGCCTCCGATTCACCTCCACGCTCGCCAATCGCTCCACTGCTCCGATTAAGAAACATGCCAGCTGGCAGCACCGCTAGTGCAATTCTCCCCCTCATCCTCACACAACCCATCTCCCCCTCTCCCCCACCCCTTCCCTCACCTCCACGCTCGCCAGTCGCTCCACCGCCTCGGCATTAGCCACACGCCAGCTGGCAGCGCCGCGCGCGCGGTTCTCCCCGTCGGCGAGGGTGTTGGTGGCGAGTGGCACGAGCAGCGCTGCACCGTCGCCCGCCACGTACGAGAGCACCGCAGAAAGGCGCGCCGCTCCGATGCCCTGTAGCACGTAGAAGAACGCCATGTAGACCTGGTGGGAGGGAGGAAAGGGGGGTTGCCGTTTGCCAGTTCAAGGGGCGGGAGAGGGAAAAGGAGGCCAGAGAGTGCACAAGGCAAGGTGGATGAAACGCGAGAGTGGCACGACATGAAGTGTGTGCTCACCTCAGTGTACTTGCGGAATATCTTCTCCGGTGTGACATCCACGCCCTTGCACGCCGCCACCAGCACACTGCGCACCATGCATGGGGCATGCAGCACAGGGCATGTGGGACAGGAGCCATGGGTTATGGGGTATAACGGGTGGACAATGCCGGGAGGTTGAACAACGACGTTGAAGCACTCGCGTACTTGTGCATGAAGCGTTGATAACAAAAGACTGCAGATGAAAATGCTCACCTGACGGCCTGGTTGACGGTGCTGATGCAGCTGTAGACGTTGAGCGACGTCTCATCGTCGTCCGCCAGCATGAGCCCCAGCACGTAGATGCTGTTCACCAGCCTGTACACCACGCGGTACCTGCGCGCTCACACCGGCGGAAGAAGGGAAGGAGCAGTGATGGGGGGCCGAGTGTGGAGGAAGGGAGGAGCAGGTGAGGGGAGAGCGGGCGAGCCCAGCATATAGGTGCTGTCCTCATGACGGCACGCTACGCCTCGCAGTGTGCGCGAGAAAGAATGCACTACAGTTTTCCTAATTCCTCCTGATTTCCGTCGCACGCACCGTCGGTCGCTGCCGACGACGACTTGCCCGCTCGCAGCAGCCAGCGGGTCGTCGCCGAGGCGATCGAGCATGAGCGCCTGATTCGCTGGCTGCTCGTGATGCCGCACGCTGCTGTCCGCGTGCCGCGTCGTGCGGAAGCTCTGACACGCCGCCAACGCGCGCTTGGGGGGGAACCATACCTTGCTGCGGCGGACTCAGGGGGAATCGGGGGAAAATGGGGAAGCAACGGCGAGAACATTGAGGGACGGGAGATGCAACAGTGAAGCCGGAGACGGCTGCGGATTAGATGGGAGTACGGTAGGGTGGGGAATGGCGAGAGTTGATATTTGCCAGCGATCAACGGACAATGGGAACTCCTGAGGCCTGATTGCGTGATGCTCACGACTGGACTGATGCGCCGTATTGACTAGCATAGGGCGACACGACAGCTAGATGACATGACCGCTAGATGACACCGTTGCTAGTTGGCGCGATTGCTAGAAGACATGGCTGATACATGACACGAGTGTTGCATGACACAACTCGTACATGTAACGGCTTGATGACACTACCCATCAGACGTCTGATACATGACATGACAGCTATTGACACGAATACTAAATGACACGACAACTATGTCGCGGCTGCTAGACGAATGTCCCTTACGTCTGAAGCAGCAGGTCTGGTCCCTGTGCCGGCTGCAGCGCTAATGCGAGACACGCCATTGCGAGACGCTAAGCTACTAACGACGTATTCGTGACTAAGATTGACGCTCAGACGAGTCAAAGCCGCTTAGACTTTTCACGCTCGTGTCGCCGCTCGCTCTCCTGGAATAATTACGGAGCCAGCTTTTTATTCGGACATGGGAATGGCGAATGCTGGTTTTCATCTGATCAGTGCCGTAGATATGCTCAGATGATCAGATTCCTGCGATGAGCAGATTGCCCATCTCCGCTGCGCTATAAGTGGGCCGTGCTAAGGATCTGAGCCCAAGGTGACCAGCACCATTTCGTAACGCATCTCACACGAGCTTAGTTCATTGCCACCGCAATTTAGACTCGCGTTTTTTCACAGAATGATAAGATGCAGGACCACTACTGAATGCCAGAATGTACATAGTATACCAAGGTTACACCAATAGTACTCCATTTATACAACCATCATTCTCTGGGTTGTTGGTTACTTGGGCGTATTTACCTGCACAACAAGCAAGCACCGTCAGGATACTCATCAAACATTAATCGCAGCAGAGGAAGAGGAAGAATCAAATTGAGTAGTGGAAACGGAAGCAGATAAAACAGCATTACCCCAAATGACTTTGCCAGCTGGTGTGACCAACCCAAGCTCGCTCACGTTCACCTGGAGTAAACAACGGGAGGCATGGGCGGAATGAAGGGGTAACAGGATGAGGCAGTGGAGACGTGATACAAAACACACCCCAAAGAATCACAACAACAGAAACCATGGGACCATTGCAAGGAGGAGGATATCAGACGGATCCGCATGGCTGCAGCTGCATGCATGTATGCATACGAGCATGCGCGCAGTGCATGTGCAAAGCATGCATACCTCAATGATGGTTCCCTTGGTGATGACCCCCATGGACGAGTACATGGGGCCGTTGGGGTTCTTTTTCACACTGATGATGTCCAAATGGAACGTGCACTTGAGCTCTGGGTGGGTCACATGCGCCTGCATGCATGCATGCAAGCAGCACATTAGAAGCAGGGTGTTAGTAGCACAACAGTTGCTGACACGAAGAGAAATTGGAGGGTTGGGAGGGGGCAGCGGGATGTGGTGATGCAAGTCTGCAGTAAGTGAGAGGAGTGCGCAGAGAGTGAGAGTGTGGGGTGGAGTGAAAGTGTGGGGTGAGTGAGAGTGCGGCGTGAGTGAGGAGGGGGTGGGGTGCGTGAGGGAGCTGGTGGCGCACCTTGGTGAAACGCAGAGCCATGGGGCGGATGAAGCGCTCATACTTGGGTGGCTTACGAGTGAACCCTGGGCCCACAAAGGTGACTTTAGTCACTAGCCTCTTCCACTGCTTGGCTGCACACAAGAAGGCAAAGCGGCAATTCAGATAAGAGAAGGAACTGAGTCAGAAACCATCTAAGAGGAGAGAGCAGAATGTGCAGTTGAACCAGTTTGACTTGAACCGCAATCAGAGCCAAGCGAAAGTGAACGAGGGGTGGGGCGAGGCTGAGCAGGCTTACTTTTCCTCTTCCCTGATCTGACCACTTTGAACATCTCATCTTCTGCTATCGGCCGAACCTGCAGTGCACAGCGCAAAGGGAGGCAGAGGAGTATGGTTATAGGAAAAAGCAATATGGCTGACGGTGCAGTGAGGTGTGCAGTAGCAGACCTGCTGTGCAGCAAATCACCCGATCCCACACCATGAAACCGCATGTGATGCCAAGTCAACTCAGTGAAGCATCACGCCATGCATCAAAGCTGCCTTACCTTGGGCAGAGGCACGTCCCACTTGCCGGCCTTCTCCTTGCGCTTCTGCTTGATGGTGTTGCTCAGCACCTTGGCACGCGCCGTCGCCTCCCTCTCCAGCAGGTACGCCGGCACCGCGCCCTCCGCCACTGGCGCGTCCGCCTTGTGCTTGTTCGTCCGCTCCGCGTGCATTGCCAGACTGCACGGTGGAGCGGAGGGGGCGAAGAGGGAGAGGGATAAGGGGAACGGTGGAAAGGGGGAGGAACGGGGAGGAGTTGGCATAAGGGGAGAGGCGGAAGTGAGACGAGCGGGTGGATGGCAGTACAGGAAACGAGACAAAGATTAACAGCGCGCGACCGAAGGAGACAATGGGAGACTTCAGATAAAGACTTGGCGTTCCAGGGTACGAGAACTGGTAACTCTAACTCACGTCTTCTTCATCGTCGCCTTCTCTTGGTAACGCTTCTTCGCGAACATCTTCGCCTTGAGACCGATGGTCTGCGAAATTCCATCCAGTACGGCACGCAGGAGGAACACGATGAGCGAGAACCGGAGGTACCAGGAGCCGGGTCTACTAAGAGAAACTCTAAAACAATAAATAGAGCAATCCGATTCCCATAATTGACTCACGTTCCGCGCAATCTGAGACGTCTTGTGCACTTGCCGAGCCTCGCGCTTGCGCTTCCGCTCGAAGTGATCCAAGCGGAAGCCATGGCGCTTCTGATGAAGCTCAATGTGCTCGCCCTGCGGCTGCACCGCTCAATGCCAAGGAAAGGGGATGACGAAGAAAAGGGGTTTGGCGGGGACAGAAGAGGGTGGGGGTTTGTGGGGTGTAGGGGAAGCATAAGTGAAAGACGGAGTTACAGTTGTGACACATACGCCGCTGAAGGATAAAATCTAAGAGAAAATACCTACGAGATTGACCCAACTGGAGGACCAACTTCTTTCGGAAACAATCGGTGCACGAACGACGGGAATATTATCGCGGATAACGCATATTAGCAGAAATGCGTACCATGGTGGACGAATCAGTCCTCGCAGAAACACGCTAGGCGACTTGCGTGAGAAGATTTCTAAGACGAGAAGAGTTTCCTTAGGCAACGTCTGGGGAGAGCGCTTCGTGCGCTATGGAGCAAGGAACTGAAGAAAGGCAGACTCAAGGACTCAACGGTCAGTACTTGAGGCTGCGGTCAGAATGGTGGAGGGAAAGGAATATCATGATTCTCAGATTAAGGTAAATTGAAGAACATGCCACGGTGTAGAGTCAATCAGGAATCGTTTTCGGAATGCATAATAAAGGATACACGTTGCCGTATTCTCCCAGTGGTTTCTCCCATTTCGCAGACGCTTCGCAAAGAACTTGCAGCTGACCATTCCCCTCGCCACCCAGCTCCATCACCGTTTCGTCCCTGTCGTCAAAAGCTGACCAAATCCAATTTGCGGCTGTGAGCGGTGCTTGCGAAGACTCAACGACCGATGCACCTAGGAATTGCCGACAAAGTTCCATGGCGAATCCAGTTGTCAAGAAGCGAACAGCAAGGCTCGGGTGAGGCAGTTGAGCAGCTCAAGAAGCGAAGCGTCTATCTACCCTTCATAGAGAGCTGAATTCGCCTTGCAGCACCAGACTATCGGTGGATCTTTACAGAAACTACGTATTGTGGAAAGACTGCGAATAGTAGACCATCTTGTAACCTCCGTTAGATAGCCTTCTTCAGTAAGCGAGTTTCGGCCCAGTCCAGTCTTTATTTATTGCTCGCGGACCCCTCCCGTCGAGCAAAAGGCGGAACGTCTCGACGCGTGACTATGGTGCGGTGGCACGTGCCGGGTCTGTCGACCAGCAGCGGCTCGAGCATAGATGGCGTCGCGGTGAAAGGCGACACGGCAAAGCTGCAAAAGCTTCTCAGAAAGGGCGCGGACGTGAATGCACGTGCGCGTGAGCCGGTGCTGGTGGGACGTCGCCCACTGCATGCTGCCGCGGCCGCAGGAAACGAGGCCATGGTCGAGGCGCTCCTTGCTGCGGGTGCTGACGTGGACGGAAAAGACGATGTGAGTAATACCCTCTCTTGCAACGCCATGCAACTGCATTCTCACCCTCCCTGCCTTCCTATCCCGTTCCGTCTGGTCGGGCACTTCCTTCCCCCGACTAATGCGCATCCCTCGGTCTCAACGTGCGTGATTTCACTGCAGTTCGGCCGCACGCCCCTTCACTATCTGGCGGCCAGTCCCTCCCCCCGTCTGGGCATCCTTTCGCATCTGCTCAATGCCGGCACTGACTACGCCATCAGAGACAGGGTGAGTCTCCTTCCACTTCGTTTCTCCACGTGCTTCCTCGTTCCTCCACCTTCATCCACAGTCGTCCATGCATCGCATCCGAATCCTCGCGCTCAACCCTTCCTCTTTGCCATCTCTTCCTGCCAGGGTGGCAGCATGCCCATCCACGTGGCGATGGCAGGAGGTCTCGTGGCAGTGCAGGAGGCATTGACAGCGTTCGCGTTGGAGCACAGTGCGGAGTTTGCCTTCTACGAGTCGGGGCAGTGGCGCCCCTTCGACGCCGACGCATCGCGCCTGCTGGGCTTTGAACTCGCCGAGGGCGTCGGCTTCGCTGCCCTCGCCACTGCCACCGGCGCGCACTACATCGTTGACTTCCAGCAGCAGCTGCAGGTGAGGGACGCTTGTGGAGATCAGCACAAACAGAGAAGTCCAAGAACAGGCAAGGGAGCTTTCTACCCTCGAATTGATGCATGCTGTCTATTGTCTTGTCGCTCATTGTTGTCCGCCTCCATCCCACACTTGTCTCCTTCCGCCTGCCTCCCGTCTGTCCACCTCATCGACCACCCGGCCGTCCCTTGTGGCAGTTCAACGTGTCGTCCTTCTTCTGCAAGTCAATTAGCTGGCGAGTGCTGCCCAGCGGCCGCTGGAACCGCCCTTCCAGCCCGCACCAGGGGCTGCACCCGGGCAGCCAGGACCCGCGCCTCATGTACCGCTACGACCAACAGCTGCGCTCTCTCGCCCAATCGGGCGTCGACATCTGCCCCGTCTACTTCTCCCTCACTGGCCTTCCCCCGCACCCCCTGCTCTCGCAACCGGCGCCCAGCGCTCAGTTTGTCTCGCGCCTCTCGTCGTCACCGCGCCATGATGGAGAGCATGGTGATGGTGGTGATGGTGATGAGGATGATGGTGGTGATGGTGATGCGCAACGGCCGGCTTCTTCCTCTGCTGGAGTGGCCGCGGCTGCTGCTGCCCTCCCTGCTGCTCTACACATGTCTGATGACCTCTCCAGTGATGTCCCCGACTCCGAACCAAACACCCCTTTGGCTCGGCGTCAACCAGGGCAACGTGCAGCTGATTCAGATGACGACGAGCTGCCGAGGCTGCAGGTTCTGAGGTCCGGCACAGATGAGTACGACGAAATCGTGGCTCGGTTTGTGGCTGGAATGCTACGGGATAGAAATGACCGCCCCAACAGCAGCTTCCGGCAGAACAGTGTGAGTGGAGGGGTGGTGGAGCAGGAGGATGGCATGAGGCCCGTGACAGTGTCATCAGTGCAGCAGGTGCTTCTGCCTGCTTCCCGCACTCAAGCCTTTGAAGAAGCTGTGAGAGAGCTGAAGGGAGCAAGGGGGGGCGATGGCAATGTGCGGCTGGCATGGCACGGGGCCCCTCGTATGGCAGTGGATCGCATAGTGTCGAGCGGTTTCTCCCTCTCCTCTTCCGCTGCTGCCCGCAATGGCAGGCTCTATGGGGATGGAGTGTACCTGGCACCGGAGCAGAGGGCCTACACGAGTGCAGAGTTTGCGGTAGCGGATAGCGAGGGCCGCAAGCACATGCTGCTTTGCCGTGTGGCGCTTGGATCGATGGAGGCGATTCCGTTTGGGTCGTCCCAGCAGCGGCCTAGCAGTCTTCGGTTTGACACGGGAGCTGACAATGTGAATGATCCTTCACGCTATGTGGTGTGGGAAGAGGATGTGAATGATCTGGTGCTTCCCACACATGTGGTTTCCTTTCGCTATTGTTGAAGGCGCCACAGATGTTACCCAATCACCATTCCTTTGCTCCCAAATGTTTATGCTTATGATGTTGCTACAACCAGTGTGTCTTAGTATTAATGCTAAGAAAGCCTCCATTTGATTTTCAGACAACTTCTCAGGTGACTTGTTCAATGCAGAGGCAAAATGAACTTAAGACTCATAAAATTTGCAGGTGTAGCACAATGCTGCCTAGGTGTGCTTTTGGTGATTATTCTGGGACGATTGTAGCACGTCCAGCTAACGACAAGTGCTGCACGTGGTGTTGGTGGCAGTGCATGAGGGTGACGGATTTGGTGGAGGAAAATAAGGGTGTTGCAATTGGGGCACGGTTGGGTGGAATGAGGGGTGGAGCTGGAATGAGAAAGGTGAGGAACGTTTCCGATGGTTTCAGTAGGGTGGGCTGCGCTGCACGCGCTCGTGTTGGTCCATCCAACCCGCTTGCCACTGCCAGCCCTTCCTTTCATTCACAGTCCGTGATTCCGCCCCCACGCTCACCCCTCCCACCCGCTCCCACCTCGCTGCCCTCAGCCCCCCTAGTTATCAAACGAAGTTCACATTTTTGCCTTGCATTTGCAGGAAGCTCCAGGATTACTTGACGAACAAGGTTCTCTTAGCTCCATTTCCACGTATCTCTTCTTTTCTCCGTCTTCTTCTGTTAACGACGTTCTAGTCAGCACAATTATATTCTGTTTAAAGGGGGTTTCGCCATGGATGACATGTCGGCGCAGAACGTAGCGTCGCAGCTGCTCGACCTTATTCGCACGCGACGGCAGCCGATATCGCAGGAATCGTCGCAAGGACTGTCGCAGCCGTCGTCGGTAGGCGATGTACCGCGAAATTTATCGCAGCAAGTCGCGAGCGGTCGACCCCCTCTAGACCCCTCGACCTCCTCACCGAAGCTCGTCAGCACATCGGATTACGTATCTGTCTCGGCCGTTAAATCCGCTTCCGCTGTTCTCGGTTCCGCGCATGTCCCCGCCCATTACTCACTCAGCGCCCGGTCCGCCACCGCGGAGGTCACGAGCTCGTTAGTGACGCCGTCCGCATCCGCGCATGGCGGAACCTGCGCGCAGCCGGCGGAAGACCTGCGGAGCGGGAAGAGAATGCGGACGGAAACCGGCGCAGTTGACGCGGCGTGGTGGGGAGGCGCGGTAGGGCCGGCGACGCCGGAGCACGCGGGGTCGGACTCGTCCGCGGCGGGCGGCGCGTGGGACGTGAGCAACGTGCAGATATCGCAGCTGCTGCAGGAGATGGACATGTTCTTTCCGCCCGACGACGACGATCTCAGCGCCTTCGCGCTCGCCTTCGACGACGACCCGCTCGACGCCAGCGCCGCCGCCAACGCCATCGCCGCCGCGAATGGCGCTGCGCCTGCGTTTCCCGCGCAGGACTCCATAGGGGAGATTCTGAACGGTCTCTCGTCTGCCGGCCCACCGTGTGCCGATTTGCCGGCGGCTGTTCCTGCCGTGCCGGCCGTTGGTGTTGTTCCGGCCGTTAGCTTGCCGGGCGGCCCGGTGCCCGACGTGCATGCCATGCGCCGCGCGGACTCCGCGGACAGCGCGGGGATCACTCCGCAGAGCCTGTCAGGGCTGGATAGTCCGCATTGCAGCTTAACCGCGGGGGGAGCGGGCGGAAGCACTGGAGGCATGCAGACGCTGACGTCATTTGAGAGCGCGGAGCTGCGGGGGGACTTTTCGCGCGTTTGCTGGGTTGGGGAAGCAGAGAGGCCCGCGGAGGGGGAGGCGGCTGTGCAAGAAATGGGAGCGGGACAAATAGGGGAAACTGCTGTTGCGGGGAGCGCGGGAAACGGGGAAAGTATGGGCGGATGGCGCGAGCAAGTACCTGCCACGTCAGCGTTGTCAGGGGGAAACGGTGGCGGGGGGGATAATGGCGCAAGCGGAAACGGCAGCAAGGGGGGCGCGATTCCCGGCGCGCGGTCGCTGAGTCTGGGGAGCCAGTTCCGCCAAAAGCAGATCCTGCAGACGCTCTCCTCTCCGCCCGCCGCCCCACAGGCGATGCAGTCGCAGGTGCAGCAGCAGCCTCAGCCGCAGCAGCCGCCGCAGCAGGCGGTGGTGCGTCCCGCAGGCGCAATGCGTTCCCCCATGCTGCCACCTCGGTATTCCCAACAGCTGGCGCAACCGCCCATGGCGCAGCAGGGGCAACCCCCCATGGCACAGCAGGGGCAGCAGCAGGGCGCGCAGTCGTGGCAGGGCGGAGAGCGGCAGGGGGGAGGTGCGGGGGGAAGGGGAGGGGGAAGAGGGGGAGGGCTGCTGAGGGTGCCGTCGGACTATCTGAGGCTGCTGGCGGAGAGTCAGGAAGGGGGGAAGCGCGCTCGGGGGGCGGAGAGCGAGTGGTGCGCGCAGCAAGTGAATCGCATGCTGCAGGCGCAGGCGGAGCAGCAGTCGTTGCAAGTACAGAAGCAGCAGCAGCAGATGCTGCGAGAACAGCAACAGCACTCGTTGCAGCAGCAGCAGCAGTCGTTACAAGCACAGCAGCAGCTGCAAGGCCAACAGCAACAGCAGCAGTGGCAGGGGCAGCAAGAGCAAGAGCAGGCGGCAGGTGGGGGGGCGGTGGTGCTGAGTGCGGGCATGAAGAGCGACTCTGTGGCCAGCGCTGACATCACTGCGCTCCTTGAGGCCTACCCTCTTCCCCCGCAACCGTTGCAAGCACAGCAGCAGCAATCGTTGCAAGCACAGCAGCAACAATCGTTACAATCACAGCAGCAGCAGCAGCAGCAGCAGCCATTGCAAGCACAGCAGCAGCAGCAGCAAGCGTTGCAAGCACAGCAACACCAGCAGCAAGCGTTGCAAGCACAGCAACAGCAGCAGCAGGGATGGAACCAGGCTCTTCACTTGCAACCACAAGCACTCCCCCAACCTCCCAATGGCGTCCACTATGTGCCGCCCACACACGCCATGCCACCCACACCACCACCACCAGTAGCTTCTGCAAGCCTGCCCCAAGGAACGTCACCCGGCGAAGCAGCCACAGCTGGCCCGACGCCTCTGGCTGCGCCCCTGCCTCCGCCCTTCCGCCCAGTGACGTCCCCCATGGAGGTGGCGCTGATGGAGTGTGCAGCGGCAGTTGACAGGCGCGACCTGGGGCAGGCGCACTCCCGCATGTCCGCCCTCGCGCACCTCGTGTCACCGCACGGCACCGCACAGCAGCGCCTGGGGTACTACTTTCTGGAGGCTCTGGCTGCCAGGATTGCGGGCACTGGGTCGGCTATCTATAAGGTGCGTGCCTGCGTCACACGCCTGCACCTGCTCTCACTTACCCCATAGCACCGCACAGCACCACCTACACTCCCGCCAGAGCAGCCAAGCAGGGCCACTGAGCGCGTGCAATGCCCATCAGCGGTGGTTTTGGTGTCCTGCAAGGCAAGTATCGAGGCACCTCACCAGGCAGGCGTGTGTGCGGACCAACTTAGCTCCAACCCAACCACCCCAAACCCCCTTTTCCTCTGACCCCTTCCCTTCAGGCGCTGCAATCCCGCCAGGGCAGCCAGCCCGGTCCATCCAGCAAGGCCATGCTGTCTGCAGTATTGGTGTTCTGTGAGGCCTGCCCGTGGATCAACTTCGGCCACCTGGTGGCCAACGGCAGCATACTGGAGGCGGTGGAGGGGGCGAGGAGGGTGCATGTGATCGACCTGGGCATCACGCACGGCACGCAGTGGCCCACGCTGCTCGAGAGCCTTGCCACGCGCCCTGGCGGGCCCCCGCACCTGAGGATCACGGGGGTGGATGCGCCTCTCACCGGGCTCAAGCCTTCCTCGCTGGAGGTGTGTAGGCGGGATGGGTGGGCGGGATGGGTGGGTGGGATGGCTGGGTACTTCTGCAGGTGCTTGGGTGGGTGAGAGGGGGGGAAGGGGTGACGGTGCATGGGTTGTGCGGCACCTGCGCGGCACGTGGGGAGCACGGCGGGGTCCAGTGCATCGCTCACTGGACTCGAGCAGTGCTGGCTGCAGCTGCATTGCGTGGCTGCGTGGCTGTCTGCGTGCTTGCTATGCGCATGGGTGCATGTCGCTTCGCGACCATCACGCAACACCAACCTGTTCGACTTTCTCCTCCTCACCTTTCCATGCCCTCCCCCTACTTCTCCCCCCTTCCTCCTCCCCCATGTGTGCCGCCCTTGCATGGCAGGAGACGGGGCGGCGGCTGTCAGCGTTTGCGAGGGTGATAGGAGTGCCGTTTGAGTTCACGCCCATCACAGAGCAGCTCGACGACCTCAAGGTGCGCCCCTCCACCTGCCTGCCTGCCCGCCCGCCTGCCTGCCTGCCTGCCTGCCTGCCTGCCCGCCCGCCTACCTGCCTGCCCGCCCGCCCGCCCGCCCGCCTGCCTGCCTGCCTGCCTGCCTGCCCGCCCGCCCGCCTGCCTGCCTGCCTGCCTGCCTGCCTGCCCGCCTGCCTGCCTGCCTGCCCGCCCGCCCGCCCGCCCGCCCGCCTGCCTGCCTGCCTGCCCGCCCGCCTGCCTGCCTGCCTGCCCGCCTGCCTGCCTGACCGCCTGCGTGCCTGCCTGCCTGTGTCAAGATCAATATGCCTGCCGTGCGCGTCTGTTGCTCTGCATAGGAGTTGTCTTTGCACGCCAGTCCGTTCCTCCGCCCATTTCCCCTGCCCTTCTATCTCCCTCTGCCTCCTCGCAATGCAACACACATGCTATCCTCCTCTCCCGCCCTCCCCCCCTCACCACGCACTCTTCTCTGCTTCCCCTACTTGTAACCTCCTGAGTCCGAGTATTAAGCAGTGAGGAGTGACGAGGTTCTGATGATCAGCTGCCTGCTCAGTCTGCATCGGATGCTGCTTTCCCCCTCGTTCTCTCCTCATCTCTCTCCTCCTCTCCCCTCATCGATCCCCCCCATACCCCAGTGCTTCACCTCTCCAGCCAGAGCAGATTACAGGGCGCGGCGATGGGGTGTTGGTGGTGAACTGCCTGCCTGCTGCGGCTGCACCAGATGCTACTCTCCCCTCATCTCTCTCCATATCCCCTTGTCTCTCCCCTTCCCCCTCCCCTCATCTCTCGCTTCGCCCCCACTTTTCCAACCCAACTCCTCTGAGCACTTCGCAGTGAGGAGCGACAAGGTGTTGGTGGTGAGCTGCCTTCTGCGGCTGCACCAGATGCTGCTTCCCCCTCATCTTTCTCTCTGTCCCCTTATCCCTCCCCTTCGCTCTTCCCTCATCTCTCCCCTCGCCCCCACTCCTCTAACCCCTCCAGCCGGAGCATTTCTCAGTGAGGAGCGACGAGGTGCTGGTGGTGAACTGCCTGCTGCGGTTGCACCAGATGCGCGACGAGAGCAGCGCACCGCACGTGCCCAGCCAGCGCAACTGCACGCTCCAGATGATCCGCTCCCTCAACCCCGCCATCGTCACTCTCATTGAACAGGTGGGGGGAAGGGAAGAGTGTGGAGTGTGGGAGATGTGGGGGGAGGAGAGAGTGGGGTGCTTTAGGTGCATGCAAAAATAAAACTCTGTCCTGGCGATTTTCCATCTCCTTGTCAACTCATATCCACCATCGTCACTCTCCTTCTCCCCTTCCACCTCCTCTCCCACCTCTCCCACCTCTCCATGCTTCCTCCCAATCCCCCCCCCCAGCACGCGGATCACAACATACCCTCCTTCCTATCGCGCTTCCGAGAGGCATTGCACTACTTCAGCGCTCTCTACGAGTCGCTGGACGCCAGCCTGCCATGGAACAGCACGGAGAGAGCGCTGGTGGAGGAGAGGATATTCGGGCGCAAGCTCGTCAACATCATCGCCTGTGAGGGGCGCGAGCGCGTGGAGCGGCATGAGAGCCACGCCCGCTGGCATGAGCGCATGCAGCGCTGCGGGTTCGTGCCACGCGCTGTCAGCGCTGACGTGGAGGAGAACGCGCATGTGAGTGCTGACGTGTACTGTTGATGGGAAGTGCACCCACAGCGTTGGTGTTCGTTGCAGGTTGACTCACCCTCTGGTTCGTAACCTTTCAAGTAACTACTCACATCTAGCATGCAGCATTGGTGTTGGCATGCATTCTCATGTCGCACACAAACACCTACTGCCAGCTTCCCTGTGCCCACTAACTCACCATCCCATCTCCCCCCATAACCTCCCTGTGGGCACGCACCCCATAACCCACCGCTGCCCGCTATTCCCACAGCTGCTGCTGAAGCTGGTACAGGGAGGGGTACGGCATAGAGCGGCGCGGCGATGCGCTCATCATCTCGTGGCGCCACGAGCCCTTCTTCGCCGCCTCCAACTGGTGCTGCCGCCCCACCGCCCTGCCTCCACCCCCCCTCACACCCGCCCCCGCAGCCACAGCCACAGCCACAGCCACACCCCCCCTCACACCCGCCCCCACACTCACACCCACTGCTGTGTTCACTGCTGCTGCCAATGCTGCGCCTGCTGCTGCAGCTCTGCCCTCCACCGACCCTGCTCCCTCTCCTGCTGCAGCTGGCTCCAACTCCAACGCACTCCCGTCTCAGCCTGGTGCCCACCCCACAGCGGCTGGATTCGTGCCTTCCAGTGGGTAGAGCAAGGGGAGTTGGGCTTCTGAGTTTCCTGCTGCGCACTGCGCAGTCCGCAACTGCATAGTAACTTCTAACTGTAAAGCCTTTTGATTTGCAAAGGGCACAGTTGCTGGCTAGATATTGTGCCTGAGTTTAATGTACAATAAATGGTATTTATATTACATGTGCTAATGTGTAATACAACAAATAAATTCCTAAGTGATACCACACAAGTTGCTACCTCACCATCCACACTGGAGGTGTATGAAAGAAGCACATCAAGCAGGAGGTAGCGTCAGTATACCTACTCTACTAGGTGCACCATGTGCACGCCACTCCACACCACACCACACATCAAGGGCGCACGCCCCACACACATCTAATCTAAGCTAGCATGGACCTCCTCGCCACGCTCACACACAAAAGAATGCGCAGGCCATGCCTGGCTACTGCCGTTGGGAGCTGCCTGCTCCTGTGCTGTGCGTGCACAAGCCTGCTGCTCAGGCATGCATGCAACTCCGAGTCCAACCCGGAGTCCAACCCGAGTACCCGGAGTCCAACCCGGAGTCCAACCCGGAGTCCAACCCGGAGTCCAACCCGTGCACCACCCCTCTCAGTCAACAGTATCGTCAACCTCAACCGTCCCTCTCCCCAGCACCTCTGCACAACTTGCACGCTCAGCACCTGCTACATCTGCTACAGCCGCTGCAGGTACTACAGCGCTGCTACAGCCGGTTCAGATCCTGCTGCAGCCTCTACAGCTCTTGCTACAGCTGCCACAGCTCCTGCTGCACCTACAACAGCCCCCTGCTGCAGCCAAGGTCCTGCTACAGCCTGCAAAGGTTCTGCTGTGGCACGGCTACAGCCCCTGCTGCAACTGCACGTGTTGAAAGTGAGAGTGGTGGTATGCAGAGCGGGCGAGAGGCGAGAACACACTGGGCGAGTGCTGGCAGGGGGACGCGGGGGACATGTTGAGCGCGTGCGTGGAGATGGGGGGGAGCGGACCAGACCCAGTGGGCGGAGTGAGCTGCCCGTACTGTCCTGCCTTCCACGCCCTCTGCTGCTGCTGCTGCTGCTGCTGCGGCTGCAGCGGCGGCAACTGTGGCTCAGGGGCGGCGTATCTACTACTGGGAATACCCAAGCGCCTGCGGGTTAATCCGCCGCCGCCGCCGCCGCCGCCGCTGCTGCTCCTTTCCATTCTCCCCTCCTCCTCCTCGCACTCCCAGATTGCCCCCGGACTGTTTTCCCCGCTTCCCCAGTCTCCGCTTCCGCCTCCGCTGTTCCCCCGGGCCACCCGCGAGCCCGACTGCGCACGTAGCGCCACGTCACCGCTCTCTAGACCCGCGAAATCCGGGAAGCTCATCGACTTGCCCATGCTGGCGCCCAGCGCGACCCGCACGTCCCCCGCGCACAGCAAGCGCGGGGGAACCGCAGGCGTGGGGGCGACGTCTTGCGCTTGGAAGTTAGGGGAAGGCGGCGAAACGTTTGCGGGGGAGCGATGGAGGAGGGGGAGAGGGCGAGGGAAGACATGTCAATTGCGAGCGAAGCGCGCCGAGTCCAGCCGGGGAGGTCCGGATGGGCTGGCGGGCTGGCTGGAATCAACGGCGGGGAACGTTCGCGATAGGTAACCCGACGAGGAAGCCCCTGTCGACGCAGCATTTGACAGAGCGGCGCGCTGCCAGTGCTGTCGCGGAGCCGCGTCCCGCAGCGAAGCGCGAATTGCCGTCCCACCTGCGTTTGGTATGACTGCGGGTGCGAGTGAGATTTCGATGACCAGTGCGACTGCGACGGCGATTGCGTCTCAGGTTGCCATTCCATACTACCGTGCCTCGCGTGAAAACAGCGACGCTGATGCGGATGATCGGCGATTCGAGTTCGTCGGGGTGCTCAGCAGGGGGCTCTAGGTAGGAATAACGCGCAACGGCCGCCTCGACGGACCCGGCTCAGCAAGGTTCTGCGCCGACGCGCTTCGTCGCATACCCAGGCGTGATGCCGGAGGTCGCTTCGGAGCCGGCGCAAACGGAGCCGGCGCAGGCGCCGCCGGCGGCGGTGGAACGGGCACGTTCTCCAGATCTTTGGCTGAGAAGCTGCGACGGATCCCGCCGCGGCCGTCGTTGCGCACGTCGAGGCTGTAGCGCGGCGCGGAGTTGGCGCGAGACGGCAAAGATGGGCGGGCGGCTGTTGATGAATGGAGAGAGATGCTGGCGCGGCGCAACTGCGACGGACCATGGCGAGGGGGAGAGAGGAAGCACGGATACAGCGTCAGAGGGCGATTCATGATCCAAAACAACGGATGGATAACGACGCGCCCAACGGTAGCTCCGCAAAAGGATGGCGGTAATACCAATGCTCATGCAACGAAAGGCGAGGCAATGTTGATGACCTTCACTCCGCATTCCGCAGAAGCCAAGGTCGCAAGGCTCACCTCTTTCGCCGTCCACGATGCGTCGCTCGCGGGCGACCATTGATCCGGCGAGCTCTTGTCATAGTCACCATAATCGCGGGTATACTCGGCCAATCCGCCGGTCGTATCGAGCCGCGGCGGGGGCACGGCGGTGCCTGGATCGGTCTCCGAGGGCGCGTGGAGGAAGTAAGAGTTGCCGGGCCGCAGGAGCTTCTCGGGCGGGAGATGCAGGCGCGCGGAGTTGTGCGATACCGACCATGAAGCCCGGATAGTCCTTCATCACGCGCGCCACGCGCACCGCGTCCCGCGTATATGCGCATGCCGCCGTCGGGCAGCATGAGCAGCACGGTCTGCCCGCGCTTGAACAGCTTCAGCGCCATGGCCGGCATTTTGGGGACCTACACGGGGTGACCGGACCGCGCTTGGGAAAGCGATGGACAAGCTAACGGTTCGAACAAGGACTGCTGAGCTAAATGTGCCTCGAAGGACCTCAAACAGGAGGGGGACCTGGGAAATACGAAAAGCGGGAAATGAGGGAGAGTGGAGAAGTGATAACGTTTCATGAGGCAACAGAAATACGAGTGTGGAGAGAGGCGTGGTGATTTACAGCTGGAAGGTGGTCCACCGACACACGCCACGTGGTCCTCTGAGTCGTGTCGCTCGAAGAGCATCTTAGAACGGGAAGTGAGGCAATGGATACAGCTGATGCTCACCCCATGCACGCGAATTTGCCTTGCACCAGATGGATACGCTGCACCGAGGTTGTTTTCCCCAGCCTCATGCACCTACATTACAAGCGCGTCGCGTGGTTATCAACCAATAGTAACGAACAGACGAAGTCAAGCAGAATAGACTGAAGTCAAATATGTAACAGATCTTGTATATAAGCACATGCGAATCCTTTTTAGCTAGCTGCGAATTGACGAGTTTAAGCGAATTGCCCAGTTACAGCCTATACGCCCCCTTCACAAGGCAACCGGGAGGGGCTCAAACAGGCATCATGTGTAGCTTAGTGTGAGATGCTGCGGGGTGTGTTGCCAGAAAAATCAGGCAGCAAATCGTCCCAGCTGGGATGATGGGTATCGCTGAATCACTCAACGAATTGAATGTCGCGTAGAGAATCGTTCTGCAAATGCGAGCGTACCGAACAGTGCACTAGTACGATAAACGACACGACACTAGTGCGCCTGAAAGCTGCCTGTCGCAATTTCCTACGATTCTGGGATGGTTCAGAGCCCTCTCAGCCACTCGTTTGTTTCTGGGTCGCGGCAGCGGCGCGAGAGACGAGCTCCCCTGGTTTGGACGAAGACAAGTCTCGCCACTGCCCGGTAGGGCCAATCATCGAAAAGCAGTCAAGCTGTTCAGCCAAACAGCCCGTCAGTGCTTCGATTCAAGGCCACATGCGTGGGACTCGTTTTGTAACACCAGCAAGGGACAGGGATTGCCCTTGTCACCAAACCGAAACCCGGTCCCTGCTTTGACATCGTTGAAGTGTGACCACACATTGAGGTTTCGTCCCAACCCAACCCAACGTCTCTCACTGCAATCAAGGGGCACACTTCTGCAGTGCGCGCATGCGTCACCGCTGCCAAACAACTGTGCGCTGAACGTGTCCACACTGGAACTTGCCTTTCTTCTGGAACCAACAGAATTGATGAGTCAAATAATCCCCAAATTCCACAACCGTGATAAGCGAAGCAACAGCTCCTCTTAGAAGACAGCTGTGTAAGGAAATTCCCTTTCCTTACTTCGCGTCCCTGCCCAGCGCGTACGTCACTGTAGCACCTCAGTCAGCACCGTTACCACTCCGCGACCATCGCATCATTCATCATCCCGCCTTTTCGCACATCGCATCCCGACCTCACGGCTCGGCTGGTAACCCGCGCTCCGGCCTACGCTTCGACATTTTCCCAACCTCAGTCTCAGGTCTCGACGCGCGACAACCACAGTCCATTACCGTTACCACTATTGTTTCGCTATATAATCCTATCGCTCATGCCTTCGCT